CTGCAACAGAGAGAAGAGGAGCAGATGCGTATCACGGTCCACATTGCCGAAATCATATCACGCCAGGACTACATCATCAAGCTGTGCCGCGCCTTGATGCTCTTTGGCGCCCCAACTCACCGCCTCGAGGAGTATCTTAGCACAACTGCCAATATCCTTGAGATAGACGGTCAGTTCCTATACCTGCCTGGTTGCATGATCATCTCGTTTGACGATCGTTCAACGCATACGACCGAGGTGCGGATCGTTCGTTCGACCCAGGGTATCGACCTAGGCCGTCTCAAGGATACGCACCACATCTACAAAGAGGTCATTCACGATGTCATCGGCGCCGAGGCCGGCTCCATCAAGCTTGACGACCTCATGAAGGCCAAAGACAAGTTCCACGCCTGGCTACGCGTCCTAGTTTTCGGTCTCACGAGCGCAACCGCAGCCCCATTTTCATTCAGTGCACGCCTCATCGACCTGCCCCTGGCGTTTTGCTTTGGCTGCCTCGTTGGAACACTGCAGCTCATTGTTGCCCCCATGTCAATGCTGTACAGCAATGTGCTCGAGGTTAGCGCGACGGTGCTCGTCAGCTTTTTGGCGCGTGCTTTTGGAAGCATCAGGGGCGGCGATCTGTTCTGCTTTTCTGCGCTCGCCCAGAGCGGTATTGTCATGCTGCTGCCGGGCTATGCGGTCCTGTGCTCAGCTCTTGAGTTGCAGTCCCGGGCTATTGTACCTGGGTCTATTCGAATCGTTTACGCTGTCATCTACTCGTTGTTCCTAGGCTTTGGGATCACTGTGGGTGCTGCGCTCTACGGTATTCTCGATGACAACGCCACCTCCGAGACCACCTGTCGCAATCCCATTGATAGCTACTACAGCTTCATCTTCGTGCCGCTGTTTGTCGTTTGCATCAGCATGTTGTATCAAGCCAAGTGGAAGCAGATGCCTGTCATGGTGGTGGTTGCTTCTGCTGGTTATATCGTCAATTTCTTTTCCGGCAGGCGCTTCGTCGCTGCACCACAGATTGCCAATACTCTAGGTGCGCTTGCAGTTGGCGTTCTCGCCAATCTGTACTCACGCATTCGCCATGGCGTCGCCGCCGCCACGCTCATTCCAGCCATCTTTACGCAGGTGCCTGGAGGCCTCGCATCCACTGGCGGCCTTCTCAGCGGCCTCAGCACCGCCAACATGATCACTAACTCGTCCCATGAGGTCAATGGTACTGGCTCTGTCCAGTACAGCCAGGGCGAGCCCATCAACACCGTGGTCTTCAACGTTGCGGCATCCATGATCCAGATTGCCATCGGAATTGCCGTGGGACTGTTCATCAGCGCCTTGATCATTTACCCCCTCGGCAAGCGACGCAGCGGTCTTTTCAGCTTCTGATTGCCATCTCTGTAGGTAGTGCGGCGACGGAACTTAGCCAGCCACTCGTCCGTAGTCCCCTCTTACCCTCAGCCTTCACCCTTTCCATCTAGCAGTATCAGATCTCACGATACATAGTCCCTCGTAGTCAGCCTCCGTCACTCCATTAACATCTGTTCATTGCTTGCGCGAGGATTCGGTCTCCACGCTCAGTACTGAACTCGATGCACAAATAGATAACTTGTATCAAAAATGACCATTTTCGTCCCTTGTCGGGGCTTTGAAGCCTATTATAACATGCACCTATCGCTCTTAACTCATACACTTTCAAGTTATCACATATGGCTATATTGACATTAGCACAAGGCCCGAAGGATTGTTACTGGCTTTAATAGGACTTGGCCAGGACTGGTCTCTGACAGTGCTGAGCAGTGTGCCTGGCAATGACAGCTTGCTTTCGTTGGCCACTGGCTTGACGGTGTAACAAGATACTATCTGGCGAACCGCTTATCTATTGATACTTGGGTTAGGCAATATTTCAGAGAAGCCAGATGAGTACACATGGCTTAAAATTATAAACTACGAAAGGTCGGGAAAACCAAGCAGAGTTTGGATCTCGTCAACCGCTGTGTCTTAGAGTATGAACGGAAACATTACATCATTGGTTCTCAAATTTATTCATGATGTCTAGAGTTCGTGAAGGGACAATTCACTTACACTGTTTTACCGCGCTTGATCATCACTACCGCTTTACACTTCTCACTTGTGTTGATACGGCCAATTTGGCCCTCTGTATCCTATGAGGAACACACAGGGATCTTTCCGGGTGCGGCAGCCTGTATGTTCACGCCCGCCGATGCCGCCTGCTTCTCAGTCTGTAGCCATTGCTCAACTTGTGTCTGCCATCTGAGACCATG